ACAGATCAATGTGGGTCAGCACAGATCAGTGTGGGTCAGTATAGATCAATGTGGGTCAGTACAGATCAGTGTGGGTCAGCACAGATCAGTGTGGGTCAGTACAGATCAGTGTGGGTCAGTACAGATCGATGTGGGTCAGCACAGATCAGTGTGGATCAGCCCTGCTCCATCACGGTTCAATGCAGAGGATCCGGGATCTGTGGGATCCCTATGGGATCTATGAGGTCTCTCGGAGGCCCATAGGGGCATCAGGCCCCATAGGGGGGCGGATGCTGGTGGGGCCGAAGCCCCCTATGCAGATCTATAGGACGACCTATAGGAGGTTTTGCCTGCGTGGCTCCATAAGGAACCCAAACCTGCGTGGATCCCCATGGGAATCCACAGTGATCAATGGAGACAGGGAGCCCCGCTGGGCGCCCTATGGGAGCCTTTAGGGATCTACACGGGGGCCAATGGGGGACTGCAGCTCCACAGGGCTGCAAGACCCACGGGGGTCTTTGAGTCCCTGCGAAGGCGCCTCTGGGGGCTCTATGGGTCTCTATGGGGGTCGCCAGCGTGTCTCCCCCCTCTAGTCCGTCTCTATGGTTGCTGGAGGACCGCGCTTTCTCTCCTAGTCTCTATGATCCTAGCTCACTTCCGCCCACTGGCCGGAAGTGACGCAAGGCGAAGGCGACCGGAAGGAGCGGCGGCGGCGCTTCGGGGCGTGGGGGGAGGCGGCGGCGGTGGCTGCCGCGAGGTGAGTGCGAGCGTCGCGTTCTGCGGGCGTCCCCCGGTATGTGGAGCGGGTTCCAGGAAGGGCAACGGAGCTGCGAGGGGTCTGGAGCTCGGGGCTGATGAGGAGGAGCGGCTCGGGGCAGACCTCGCTGCTCTCTGTAGCGACGTGAAGGGAGGCGGCGGTGAGCTGGGGGTCGGGGCCTCTTCTCTCGTGTAACTGGGGATAGAAGCAGAGTGGCTTCAAGCGGCGCCGGGCGAGGCTGGACGTTAGGAAGAATTTCCCCCTGACATCCAACCTCAATCTTCCCTCCCTCAGCTTCAAACCATTTCCCCTCGTCCTGCTGTTGTCTCCCCTTCCCAAGAGTTGCTTCCCCTCCTGTTTGCAGGCTCCCTTTAGGTACTGCGTGGTGTAGTGAGGTCACCCAGCAGCCTGCTTTTCTCAGCCTGTCCTCACAGCGGAGCTGCTCCAGCCCCCTGCTCATCTCTGTGGCTCCTCTGGTTCCCTTTCTCATACTGGGGGCTGCAGCCCTGGATGCGGCGCTGCAGAGCAGAGGGGGACGATCGCCTCCCTGGCCACCGCTCTGCTCATGAAGCCAGAGACGTGGCTTAGCGACTGCTGGTAGGATCTTGAAGGTCTTTTCCAACCTCGGTCATTCACCCTGGTGCTTTCAGGTACCTCCAGACCTCAGCAACAGCCGCCGTCCCCTCCGCCATGGCCGAGGCGGTGCATTACATCCACCTGCAGAACTTCAGCCGCTCGCTGTTGGAGACCCTCAACGGGCAGCGCCTGGGAGGCCACTTCTGCGACGTCACCGTTCGCATCCGCGAAGCCACCCTGCGCGCTCACCGCTGCGTCCTGGCGGCCGGCAGCCCTTTTTTCCACGACAAACTGCTGCTGGGTCACTCGGCCATCGAAGTGCCGCCCGTCGTCCCCAGCGGGGCCGTCAGGCAGCTGGTGGAGTTCATGTACAGCGGGTGCCTGGTGGTGGCCCAATCCGAAGCTCTGCAGATCCTCACCGCCGCCTCCATCCTACAGATCAAGACGGTGATCGATGAGTGCACGCAGATCATCTCGCAGAGCCGCGGTCCCAAAGTGCTGCCGCCCGCCCGGCCGCCGCCGCCGCCTCCTGATGCTCATCACAAACTCCGTGAGCTCCTGATGCCACCGCAGGACAACGACGGCTTCTTCGGAGCGTCCAGCTGTCACAGCCGTAAACAGAGGCAGCCGCTGCGGCTCCAGCTGCCGGTCAAGGAGGAGGAGGAGGAGGAGGTGGGGGGAGGCAATGAGGAAGGCTCAGCGCCCCCCGCGCCGTTCCCTGCTGAAGAGCCGCCGTTTTTCGGTCCCCCTGATGTCTTCTCTGATGCCTTCCTGCCACCTTGGCCGAGCGACGATGGGGGCAAAGTGGGACCTGAGTGCAGCCTGGAGGCGTCGGGGAGGGGTCCGGCTTTTGGGACAGAGGTGGAGCTGGCAGGGAGCGGCCTGGGGTTTGCCCCCCCTGTGCCGCCCCTCTACGAGGAGGGGTTTGTGGAAGGGGGGACGAGTGGTGGAGTCGCTCTGGTCCCCAAGGTGCCGCGGGCCGGGCCGTCACGTCGCCCTGAGCCGTCCTACCAGTGCGGCCATTGCCAGAAGACCTTCAGCTCCCGCAAGAACTACACCAAGCACATGTTCATCCACTCTGGTAAGGGGACAAAGTGGGGAAGAGGGGTCCACGTGGCTCCTCGTGGGGCCGGGGGGGGGGGGGGTGTAGGGACAGAGCAGGCCCCGTGTGGGTCCTTCTGATGGGGGGCAGCGTGGGGATGAAGACGTGGACGGGTGAGGACAAAGACACGGAGCCAGCGGGGTTTGGCACGATGAGGGAACGGCAATGGTGACGTTGGGGTGGTGACACTGGGGGAGGAGGGGGGAGGAGGAGACGCGGAGGCAGCGGGGACATCCGGAGGGAGGAGGTTTGGCACATGGTGCCCACGTCGCTCCGTGTTGATCCACGCCGATGGCGTTGAGGCGATCTGCGTCCACCGGCGCTCTCCCGTGTCACCGCTGACCCGTCGATCCCTGCTGACTCGCAGTTGATCCGCATTCATCTGCGTTGCTGTGCGTGGCTCCGCTCTGATCCATGTGGGAAGAGCTGCGTTGACCCACGTTGCTCTTGCCTCTTTGAGCCGTGCTGAACCCAAGCTGAGCCGTGTTACCGATACCCAATGATCTGGCGTTGATTTTTGTGTCTCTGGGTTGTCCCACGTTGCTCCAGGGCTCATCTGTCTCATTGATTTGTGTCACTCTGTGCTGACCCACATTGATCTACGTTGACACGTGCTGATTTCTGTTGACCCACAGAGGTCTGTGCTGACCCCTGTCGTTCTGCTGGCACACAGAGACCTGTGCTGGTGCACGTTGATGTGTGCTGACCTACGCTGATCTGCTTTGCTGCATTCTGATCTGTCAGACGTGGCACCTCTGTGGATCCATATCGAAAACAGCGCTCTCTTTTGACCTGTGTTGGCCCACATATGTCTGATGTTGACCTGAGTTGGTCCACAGTGACCTGCTGTCAGCACACATGGCTCCATGTTGATCACATTGACCTGTACATGGCTCCATGCTGATGATATTGACCTGTATGTGGCTCCACGTTGATGATGTTGACCTGTGCAGGCCCACAATGACCTGCTGTCAGCCTCCATGGCTCCATGTTGATGATATTGACCTGTGTAGGCCCACAATGACCTGCTGTCAGCCTCCATGGCTCCACGTTGATGATATTGACCTGTGCAGGCCCACAATGACTTGCTGTCAGCCTCCATGGCTCCATGTTGATGATGTTGACCTGTGTAGGCCCACAATGACCTGCTGTCAGCCTCCATGGCTCCATGTTGATGACATTGACCTGTTCAGGCCCACAATGACCTGCTGTCAGCCCACATGGCTCCATGTTGATGACATTGACCTGTGCAGGCCCACAATGACCTGCTGTCAGCCCACATGGCTCCATGTTGATGACATTGACCTGTGCAGGCCCACAATGACCTGCTGTCAGCCTCCATGGCTCCATGTTGATGATATTGACCTGTGCAGGCCCACAATGACCTGCTGTCAGCCCACATGGCTCCACGTTGATGATGTTGACCTGTGCAGGCCCACAATGACCTGCAGTCAGCCCCCGTGGCTCCACGTTGATGATGTTGACCTGTACGTGGCTCCACGTTGATGATACTGACCCGTGCTGCTGCGTGTTGGCCTGTAACTGATCTGTGGTGCCTCACGTTGACCCGTGCTGCTCCACATTGACCTGTTCTGCCTCCCCACAGGCGAGAAGCCCCATCAGTGTTCCATCTGCTGGCGCTCCTTCTCGCTCCGTGACTACCTGCTGAAGCACATGGTGACCCACACGGGCGTCCGTGCCTTCCAGTGCAGCATCTGCTGCAAACGTTTCACCCAGAAGAGCTCCCTCAACGTCCACATGCGAACCCACCGCGCCGAACGCTTCCAGTGCCGCCTCTGCACCAAAGGTTTCTCCCACCGCACCCTCCTGGAGCGGCACGCTGCTGCCACCCACCCCGTGCCACCTCCGGGGCCACCTCCAGGGCCACCTCCACCAGACACCAAGGGCGTCAGCCACACTCCCATGGCATAAAGGTGGCCGGGAGGGTTGTCGCCACCCCCAGACTGATTCTTTGAGCACCGTGGGGTGAAACCTGGAGGACTTTGACCCCTGTTGTGCATTTGATCCCCTGGACGGACAGATGGAGAGAGATGAGGTCCGTCCCACTCCTCCCCTCCCACCCAGGATGCGTTTCTCAATAATGGGGGTTTTCCCTTTACCTCTGAACCGCGGCTGTAGGGGTGGTTGAACGCACTCTGGGGTGCCGGCGGGTTGTGAAAATCAACACGCGGGTTTTAAGGACTCGTTTAGTGCCATTAATGCAACTGTTTTCCTTCAGAATCCCTCCTACCCCACTGCCCGCCCGTGAGGCTCTCACCCAGCAGATTGCGGGTGTCAGCAGGGCCGGATCGCAGGCACACGGCCGCAACAGAAGGGCTGCAGTAACCATCAGCCACGTCACAGGTCCTCCCCAAGTCTCTGTGTCTACGTTTAGCCCCAATGTCACCTCCGGTGGCCCGGGTGGCTTCTGCAAGAGCCAATGGGGACACCAGCAGGGCCAATTCTTTTTTCCATTGGCCCCTTCCCAAGTCTTTGTGTTGAGGACGGCCACCAAAAGGGCTGCTCTGCATCCCACGGCCACCTCAGAAGGGCTCCGTAGCCACTGACCCCCCTCACAAAGTCCTGCCCACGTCGGCTCCCCGTAACAACAGGCGTTGATGGAGTCGCACGTGTCCCCAAGGCCGCTGCAGAAAGCAGCCCATGGCCACATCACAGGTCTTTGTGCTGATGAATGCTGCCAACAGGGCCTGTAGCCACCACGGAGAAGCCGTAAAAATTCCCCCGACCTCATCGCAGATCTTCCCAAAATCTTTGCCTTGATGACCAACACCCGCAAGGCCAAACCCCAGGGGCCACCACAGAAGGGCTGCAGCGGCCGTAGGTCGCACCACAGATCTTTCTTCCTCCTCCCTTCCCCCTCAGAGCCCCTGCTGCACAGGCAAGGCAGGGCCGGCTCCCCGCTCAGCAGCGTGGAGGCGGCGGTGACGGACGAGGTGGGAACTACGGCTGAAGGTTTTGGGGCAGTCGGGGCACAGGTAGGGTTTCTCACCAGTGTGGGTGCGTTGGTGTTCCACCAGACGGGAGCTCTCGCTGAAACATTTGTCGCACTGCGTGCACCGGAATGGTTTCTGGCCGCTGTGAAGGCGGAGGTGCTGGCTGAGGTTGGAGCTCCAGCCGAAGCGTTTGCCGCAGGCGCCGCACTCGTAGGGTTTCTCACCGGTGTGGGTGCGTTGGTGCTGGAGCAGGTTGGAGTTTTGGGTGAAGCTCTTGGTGCAGGCAGTGCACTTGTAGGGCTTCTCGCCCGTGTGGGTGCCCAGGTGTCGCATCAGGTGCGAGCTCTGCCCGAAAGCTTTGCCGCACTCGGTGCACTTGTAGGGTTTCCGAGCGCTCGGAGGGGATGTGGGGGGAAACCCCCAGGCCCAGCCCAGCTCCAGGGGTGCTGGAGGCACTGGGGATGTCATCAGGCTGTCAGGGCTGCCTGCTTCAGGGCTCCCCGTGGTGCCTGTGGTGAGACAGAGACGGCTGTCACCACGGGGGTCCTTAATTACCCTCTCTGAATCGCTAATTACCCTTCTGACCAATCCCACACCACCAACACGGCGCCCTGTCTCACATCCGGACGTGGCCACGAGGGTCATGGCCTAAAATGAGATGCGTTGATTGGGGCTGGATCTGATTTAGGTTGGGTGCAGGGAGCCTGCAGAGCTCCCGTTCCGTGCTGCTGTGGTGGAACGGACCGGAGAGACGGCGCGTCTCCGTTCTTCGAGGTCCTCAAAGCTCACTTTGAGGAGCACGGACCACGCAGAACTGCTCTGGTTGGTGCTGGAATTGGTTTGGAGCTGGAACGGGGGAGAGTCCCCTGCGCCGTCAAGGCCTGGGGACGCGGTGGGTCTTTGTCCTTGGAGACACCCAACTCTTACACAGGCACAAGCAGAAGGAACACGACTCCGATTGCAGGGGTCGATGTCGGACCCACGCAGCATGGGGTCGGACCTGGTTCCCCCCAGAGCCCCTCAAAACTCCCTCAGGTGGGACAGAATCAAAGGCAGGACCTGGCAGGAGGTGGGTGTCCACCCGAGGAGATAAGGCTGTGAGGAACCTGCCCCAAATGCGGCTGATTTGGGGTTTGGACCTCCCTCCCTAGGCACGGACAGAGCAGGGAACATCACAGGAACATCACAGGAACACCGGCTCTCCATCCCTGCTTGTCCTCACCCCTCTCCTGGCTGTGCCCACCACACGACGCCCAGCCCTCCGTGCCCCCACCGACCCACAACATCCCAGGTCTCACCTCGGTGCTCGCCGGGCGTTGTGCCCCCACCTCCATCCCGCTCATCCGGCTCTTCCATGGCCTGCGGGCGAGACGTGGCCTCAGAACGAGGGGACACCACACGGGGAGGGGGAGGAAACAGACACGGATGGGATTCTGTGGGGCGATGGGTCCTCGAAAAGACAACGGATGTGAAAACGGGGCACACGCGGTGGCAACGGGAAGGGGGTCGGGGCTCCCTGAACCCGGCGGGGTCCTTGGGAACGCGGGCGACCCTGAAGCCCCCCCCCCTCCATCCCCCCCCGGCCCTTCCCCCACCGTTTTGCAGTCGCACCGCCCTCGACCCCGCGCCGCCGGAAGCTCTCGTGCCCCACCAGGGGCCGCTCTGCGCCGCTCGGCGGACCGAGACTCGATGGTGTCGACTCCGCGCGCTGCTGCCGCCGTCTGCTTTTATCCCCACGTTCCTTCCCCCCGCCCCCGGGGCAGAGCTGTGCAGGGGACACCCGTCCCTCACCGACACTTTAAGGGCACGGGGCGCTGACAAAGGCGATTTCTCCCTTTCTTTAACTTTTTGCCCCGTTTAGAAGCGCTGCTGCAGGCAGGATGCGATGTCACCCCTCCCTCCCTCCCTCCCTCCCTCCCTCCCTCCCTCCCTCCCTCCCAGGAGGGGCAGAGATAAGAGGATGGGATCCCAGAGGATGCAGGGGCAAAATTGGGGTGTCTGGAGGGAGGTTGGGGGGGGTCTGGACCTGGGTTGGGATGCACAGAGCTGGATGTGGGGTGTCTCCAGGTCCGTATTTCCCCATGGGTGACGTGAGCAGAAGGTTGGTGGCGGCTTCCCGGTGTCCCCGTGGCAACAGCCGGTTTCTTGGGGCAGATTTGTCCTCCTGTGTGTGGCACCAGAGCGCAGGCATGGCTCCCCAACGTCCCCACTGCGATGGGCAGAGATTCCCAGTGACCCTATTTTGAGATGCTGGGGGTTCCTGGAGGCAGGTTGGGTCTGCAGTCTGTGCTGATGTCCTCAAACCTGCCCCAGGTGAAGCCTACAGAATGGACAGAGCGGCAGGGGATTCGAGTCAGGATCCTGGCATCCCTGGAGGCAGCTCTGGTGACACTGAGCAGCTGTCCCACGTCCCCAAGCCTACAGAGGCAAAGGGATTCCTGATGTCCTTATTTTGGGCTCCTGCAGGCGGCTTGGCTGACATCTAGAGGCTGTTCTGATATCAAGGCTGCCCACAGTGATGCCTACAGAACGGGCAGAGCTACAGGGGGGATTTTGGAGGTCCTGGAGCATCTCTGGTAGCCACCGAGCATCCATCCCAACATCCCCAATCCTACTTGTGTCCCCGTTGATGCATAACGAGCAGAGGCAAAGGGATTCCTGATGTCCATATTGTGGAGATGCTGGGTCTCCTGCAGGTGGCTTGGCTGACACCTCAGGCTGTTCTGAATTCAAGGCTGCCCTGAGTGTCACCTATGGAACAAACAGAGCTACATGGGGGATTTGGGAGATCCTGGAGCATCTCTGGTAGCCACCAAGCATCCATCCCAACATCCCCAATCCTACTTGTGTCCCCATTGATGTGTGACGAGCAGAGGCAAAGGGATTCCTGATGTCCTTATTTTGGGCTCCTGCAGGCAGCTTGGCTGACATTCTGGAGGCTGTTCTGATATCAAGGCTGCCTTGAGAGTCACCTATGGAACGAGCAGAGCTACAGGGGGGATTTTGGAGACCCTGGAGCATCTCAGCCACTGAGCAGCCATGCTGACATCCCCAATCCTATTTGTGTCTGCACTGATGTGTGATGAGAGAGCCAAAGGGATTCCTGATGTCCTTATCTTGGGCTCCTGCAGGCGGCTTGGCTGACATCTGGAGGCTGTTCTGATATCAAGGCTGCCCACAGTGATGCCTACAGAACGGGCAGAGCTACACAGGGGATTTTGGAGGTCCTGGAGCATCTCTGGTAGCCACCAAGCAGCCATGCTGACATCCCCAATCCTACTTGTGTCCCCGTTGATGCGTGACGAGTCCGGAGCGTTGCCTGAAACACTTCCCACAACGCGGGCAAGGAAACGGCTTCTCCCCAGTGTGGATGCGACGATGAGCGGCGAGGTGCGAGGCCACGGCGAAGGCTTTGCCGCAATCGACGCAGGCGTGAGGCCTTTCCCCCGTGTGCCGGCGGCGGTGCAGGGCCAAGGCCGAGCTCTGGCTGAATCGTTTGGGGCAGTGGGGGCAGGCGAAGGGCCGCTCTCCGGTGTGGACGCGGCGGTGAACGGCCAGGTGAGAGGAGACGGCGAAGGCTTTGCCGCAGTCGGGGCAGACGTGAGGGCGTTCGCCGGTGTGCAGGCGGAGGTGCAAACCCAGGGCCGAGCTCTGGCTGAAACGTTTGGGGCAGTGGGGGCAGCAGAAAGGGCGCTCGCCTGTGTGCACGCGGCGGTGGACGGCCAGGCGGGAGCGGGAGGCGAAGGCTTTGCCGCAGTCGGAGCAGCGGTGAGGGCTGGGATGAGGTGGGGAGGATGAGGAGGCGTCGAGGCGGTGGGTGGGGAGGGAGGGCTCCAGGGATGGGCCTGGGGCTGTGGGGAGAGGGGAAAAGGTGAGGGGGGTGTGGGGGGGATGGGGGCACGTGGGGGGTGGAGAGGGGGAGATGGGGGGCGTTGGGTGGGAGATGGGGAGGCAGTGAGAGAGGCGGAGGGACAAGGAGGTACAGAGCGGGAGGAGGGGCGTCTGGTGACATGGGGACAGGTGGAGTGACATGGGGACATCCTGAGGGACATAGGGGACATGCAGAGTGAGATGGGGACAGGTGGAGTGATGTGAGGTGACAGTGGGACATGCAGGGTGACATGGAGGAGATACAGAGTGGGAACAGGGGCATCTGGTGTGACATGGGGACACATGGAATGACACAGGGGAC